AATAAAGTCAGCAAAGGCTTGCCCCTTCACTGCTTTTCTAGGCTCGAAAGTAACTTCGAGGCTCTGTATTTCTATGGCCCATTTGATCATTCGGCCTGACGACTCCATGATGGTCAGTGGCCGCTTGATAGGTTGGTCTGTATACACGACGACTGCATGTGCCAAAAAGTAGGGCTTCAATTTTTTAACAGCCATGAAGAGTGCAAGACCAAATTTCTCCACTAAGGGATACCTCAACTCGGCATTTTTCAGTACATGACTGACAAAGTAGACCGGGAGCTGACAGCCGTCTCTTTCAGCAAGGAGAACAGCGCTTAAGGCATGATTAGAGACGGCCAGGTACATGTAGAGTACTTCTTTGGGCAAAGGGCTGACCAGCCTCGGCAAGGAATGCAAGTGAACTTTCAATTTCTGGAAGGTCGCCTCAACATTCGGCCCCCATTCAAACCTTGCCTTTTTCTTAATTGCCTGGAAAAAGTATAGGCATTTGTCGCCTGATCGGCTTAGAAATCTCCCCAAGGCCGCCAGACAACCTGTTAACTTCTGAACCTCTCGCATGGTACGAGGCGACTGCATGTCGATGACCGCCTGCACCTTCTCAGGGTTCGCCTCTATTCCTCTCTGATTGATAAGGAATCCGAGAAATTTCCCAGACTCAACTCCAAAGACACATTTCTTGGGATTGAGCATGACATGGTGCCGCCTGAGTGTGGCGAAAGTTTCTCGGAGGTCCGACAGATGATCTTTCTGAAGTTTAGAATTGACAATCATATCATCAATATATGCCTCGACATTTCTCCCAATTTGATCAAAGAACACAGTGTTTATCATTCGCTGGAAAGTGGCCGGGGCATTCTTAAGACCAAACGGCATGACCGTGTAACAGTATAACCCCTGATCAGTGACAAAGGCCGTCTTCTCCTGATCTTTCTTCCATAAAGGAATTTGATGGAAACCAGAGTAGGCGTCCATAAAGCTCATCAAAGCATGGCCGGCTGTTGAGTCGACCAGGTTATCAATTTTAGGCAGAGGGTAACTATCTTTGGGGCACGCCTTGTTTAAGTCTGTGTAGTCTACACACATTCGCCAGGTGCCATTCGGCTTTTTAACAAGCACCACATTGGAAACCCAGTCTGGGAAGTAACATTGCTGGATGAACCCTGCATCAAGTAATTTTTTAACTTCGGCGGCTGCCGTCTGACTTCTTTCTTCGCCATGGTTCCGCTTCTTCTGCCGTACCGGCTTCTTTTTCGGATCCACGGCCAGTTTATGTACCGCCAGATCAGGACTAATGCCTGGCATTTCATGGACTTCGAATGCAAAGATGTCCTTGTATTCTTTCAATAGTTTGTGAAAGTCGTCACCCAGGTCCCTTAGAGCAGTCGTCCCAACCTTGATTGTTCTGTCAGGACGCGAGTCATCTAACATCAGGTCCGTATGCTCACCAGCTGGCTGAGGGCGGAATTCATCCGACCGCTCCTCTGCCAATGATTGCTATTTTCTGTCTTTTCTTGCGGCCCCTGTCTGGGATGCCTTTCTCTTCTTGCCGCCTGCTTCTTAAACAGGCGCACTCTCCTTGACATTGTCAAGGTCTATTTTTCCACCGCTCGACATAGTGGCCATAACAGTGGGCTTGACATCCGAGAGATAGCACTCTCGGGCCATCCTCTGATCTCCCCTTAGGGACCCGACTGTTCCATTATCCCTCTCAAACTTGAGCAACATAAGAGATGGGATTATAACAGCCTTGGAATTATTCAGGGTTGGTCGTCCCAGAATCATGTTGTAGGCCGAGAGTTCTTCTACTACCAAGAACCGGACTACCATGTGTCGTCCTTCCCCTTTTTCACCCAGGCGGATGGGTAAATCCACTCGTCCCACTGGGTGGACGACTCCTCCTCCAAACCCTACTAAAGGGTGGGATGCCGGATGTATGCAATCAGTCTGATATTTTAGTTTCGACAGACATTTGCTACTGATGAGATCTGAGGAGCTTCCGGTATCTATGAGGATTCGGCCAACTCTCTGGTTGGCCACTTTACATTCAATAACGATAGGGTCGTCATGCGGCCCTCTTACCCCTCCTAGATCTTCTTCAGTGATGACAATTTCAGGAAATGAATATTTGGAGGGCCGTTCTTGGTGAACGGAATTTACATCTAACCGTCAGATATTGTCTTTGTTGCCCCTAATAGTGGGGTCGCCTCCTGAGAAGCCGTCTGCAATGGTGTAGACGACTGCATCATCTGTATCGAAGTTGTCGGCCTGTTGATTCTTTTTGGCCGACTGCTTTTTCGAGGAAGTGTTCCCCGTAGATTTCTTGACATAAGTGTCAAGATCACCTTGCTCAACCAGGCGGTCCAGATACCGCATGAGACTGATGCATTCATTGGTGTGATGACCAACATCTTCATGATAATCACAAAATTTTTCTTGGTTCCGGTTGTTTGCAGAACCCTTCATGGGGACCGGCTTCTCAATTGAGATCCGTCCCTTGATTTCCTTTAGGATAAATTGGCTATCCTTGTTAAACGCATACTTTGGGGAGTATGGTTTGAATTCTTTTTTCTTTTTCTGGGCCGGCTGTTTAGAGGAATCAGCCGCCCAGACCTCTTTTCTCTTCTCGTCTTTGTTTGACGACTGTTTCTGTCGTCTTTCTCTTTTGTCGGACCTTCTCCCGTCTGACTGTTTTACCGTACTACAAAGATCAGTCGCCTATATATAAGCTTCCGCTTCAATCAAGGCCTCTTGAAGAGTCGCCACCCTCTTTCGGACCAAATCAAATTTGAAGGTCGACCCGTCTTTGAGACCTCTGAAAAAGTCAGTATAGGCTACTTCATCCGGTAACCCTTGAATCTGTATTCTCATCAGGTTAAACCGCCTGATGTACGAACGAAGCCCCTCCTTCTCGCCCTGCTGAATTGTTCCTAAATCAAGGGTCGTCTTCTTCGCAGGGATGTTCATGGCGAAGTTGGAGGTGAATAAGTAAGCAAGCGTCTTGAAGTTATTTACACAACCAGTCGACAGGTTGCCGAACCATTGTTGTGCGATTCCTTTGAGAGTCGCTGGGAAACACTTGCACCAAGTGGGATCATCCAACCCTTGAAGGTACATCAGGTTGGTGAATGCCACCAGATGGTCTTCTGGGTTAGTAGTGCCGTCATAGGCGCCTACTAATACATTTTTCACTTCGGCCGGCTGAGCGGCTTCAGTAATTTCCTTGGAGAAGGCCGACGGCTGTTCACCAAGTCTAAGCAACCGTAGCTGCCAGTCCATAGGTTGGACATTTTTTGCTGCATGTCCACCAAACGGAGGTGGCTGTAAAAAATACTGTTGTTGCGGTACAAACGGTAAGTTTGGTACCGCCTGGTCGCTATGAAAGCCGGACTGACGGGAGGTGCCGCCTGACTGACCCTCATGATACGACTGAGTATGCCTCATCGAGGTATTTCGCAGACTGTCTTGGAAGTTTGGAGTAGAGGCCGACTCTGACAATCGGTCACTCTTCTTCTACTCTAGCAGTAGCCGAGCGTCTGTGTATGTTTTCCTCGACCCGTCCGCCTGAATATGACGAACATGTTTCCTATTTCCTGGAGTAGGAAAACGGTATTTTGTGAAATCAAGGGCAGGTGGCTCCCACTTCCTAGATTTAGGATGAGGGGTCGCCTCTCGCCCTTGAACTGGCTTCCTCTTCCGTGAAGTGGAGGGTTTCTTAGCCGACTGCTCCTTGTCCAGAGCAGGCGGCTTCTTGTTGATCAACTCTTGAATTTCTCCCTTGAAGTCCCTCATGAAGGTCATGAGTTCGTTCCTTGTGATGGGAGCAGACCCATCAGTCGGCTGTTGCCGAACAGGCGGTGCGCCTGCTGGCTCGCTTCCTGTATGAAGATGTTCCCGTTCCCTCCTTTCGGTATGACGGGTACGTCGGGCCCTTAGGGTCCCGTCTGAAGCTGTGTGAGCTTCAACTTCAAATTCATTCTCAGTATCGTGGTCCGACTGAACTAGAGGGTCGTCCAGGGGACATCTCTCTTCAGGAGCCGGTACAAACGTGGATGCCATCTCAGAAGTACTCTCCCCACAGACGGCGCCAAAATGTTTCGGGGTTTTCTGATGTCCTGCGGGAGAGTTACAATTCCGAGACTGGAACCGGACGCCTGTACCTGCAAAACAAACGGATGCTCCGGATGATTGGAGATCCGCCTCCGACGGTCAAGTTAGTACTTGATTAAGGAGTAATTAATGCGGAAATTAAAGTGATTGGGTCTCTCTAGGTGAGAGTGTTTAATGTGTGTAATCTGCGTTTTTTGCGTAATCTCCCTTAATGAGGATTAAGGGAGGTATTTATAACCTCGGGAAACGTGTCAATCTAGGTTTAGGTTAACCTTGGGCTGATTGGGCTTCCCTCGGAAGTTGGGCCTAGGTGACCGGTTATCCCAGGTGTCATGGGAAGGACACGTGTCGTGTCGTAATTGGTCCATAGTGGACGGAGCATTGCTTGACACGTGGCAGGCTCCTATTGGCCCATGTGACGGACACATGGCGGAACCTGATTGGTCCACTTGTCAGATGGTGATTGGTGGGGAAAAATCCCCTAATCAGGTAGCCTGGCCCATCGCCCCGATTTTTTTTTTTATTTCTTAGGGCGGGTTTGGACATGCATTTTTTTTACAATTTTAGTTTTTTTTTTTTTTTTTTTTGTCCGGTCCAATTTTGTGGATTTGGACAAGCATTTTTCGGCTTGAAGATTGTCTTGTGCTGGCCCTTTGATCACCTCTACCATAAAAAAAAAAAAAAAGAAATTAAAAAAAAAATAAAAAACATATCATAATGTGCAAAAATTTTAAAACAACCGACTTTATAATAAATATTGCATCAGACCACTTGGATTGGAGGAATTACAAAAACATTAAAAATTACAATAATCTAAAGAAATAAATTAAAAATACCCTTAACTTAGACTTATAAATTTATAATACGTAGTAATTACTTTATTCCTCCCAAATTGTAAAACGCGTAAACTAGCACGTATATCAAAATTCGTCGGTGCATCGGTAATCCATCCATTCATCAACTGCCATCTCAACATCAAGCTCCACGCCTCCACCCTTAACCTCCAAGTTTCCCCTCCCTTTTCCTCCAGATCTCTCTCCCACCCTCCCCGAAATTACCAATTCACCCACCTCATATAACCCCAAAACAACCCCACTTTCATCCATTTACTTTCTCTCTCTTCCCCACAATTTTCTCTCTCTAAAAAAAACTCAACAATGGCAACATCAGCACCACCAATCCTCCCAATCTCCACCCCACAATCCACCCCTCCCACCATCAACACGGCCGTGCAATCCTCCGATCCACCCATCGCCACCCCCGCATTCCGCTCCTTCATCACCCGCCTCTCCGACCAAGTCAAAGACGGCTACTCTCAAGGCCGTCCTTGGACCGAACTCGTCGACCGCTCCGCCTTCTCCAAACCCGAATCCATCGCCGAAGCCACCACCCGAATCCGCAAAAACTACTCCTACTTCCGCGTCAACTACCTCGCCTTCCTCGCACTCGTCGTCGGATTCTCCCTCGTCACTCACCCTTTCTCTCTCCTCACCCTCGCCTTCCTCCTCGCCGCCTGGTCCTTCGCTTACCTCTTCAAGCCCGCCGATCGACCCCTTGTCATCCTCGGTCGCACCTACTCTGATCGTGAGACGCTTGGGATTCTTGTGATTTTGAGTATTGTGTTGATCTTCTTGACGAATGTTGGATCTGTGTTGATGTATGCGTTTGTTCTTGGTGCGGCGGTTGTTTGTGTTCATGGTGCTTTTAGGGCTCCTGAAGATCTCTTCCTTGATGATCAAGATTCTGCTGCCGAATCTACTGGGTTTCTCTCTTTCCTTGGTGCCACCACTAGAAGCGCCGCCTACGCCGCTGCTCCCGCCGTCGCTGCTGCCCGCGTTTGATTGGGTAATTTCATGAATTTGGTGTTTAACACAAGATCGATGTCATCTTTTTATGTTTTTTAATTTTTTTTAAAATTGAGATCTTAGATAGGGAAAATTTTTCTTTTATTTGTATCATTCTAATTACGAATCTGTAGTACATATGAATTTTTGTTGGTGATGTTCATAATATTTGGTTGAGTAATCTGTTGAATTAGATATTCTTACTTTTTTTTGGTGAATTTTGATTTTTACTGTTTTCATGAAATTTGTGAATTTCATTGAATTATACGAAGTAGATCATTAGTTTGATTAGCTAGCTGAGATGATGCAGAATGTCATCTTATAATTTATTATGATTTATGTATGTGATAAACCTAGAATATATTTGAGATTTCAAGTTAGAGTAGAGAATTGGGATAAAGTTGAATTTGGAATCTCTAGTTGGTATATTTGTAGATCAATTGAAGGTGAATTTGGAATCTCCAGTTAGTATACTTACAATCATGTCCCTCGCCTTGGGTGCTTAAGAGAAGCATAGTGCCAATAGGGGTAATGTTTATGCTGTTTGTAAAAAGGCCGATTTGCCTTGTTGTTGGACGTAGGATGTAGTATGATGTTATAATGAAAGTTGGATGATTTCCAGATGCTACTGGGTGTGCTTTAGTGAGGCATAGGCCCTATGGGTGTTGTAATGGTGGTGTTGTTTGATAAAAGGTTGTTGCCTTGTTGGGCGTAAGATGTATGATGTTATAATGTCGATTGGGTGATTTCCGGTTGCTACTGGGTGTGCTTTAGTGAGGCATAGGCCTTATGGGTGTTGTAATGGTGGTGATGTTTGATAAAAGGTTGTTGCCTTGTTGTTGGGTGTAAGATGTATGATGTTATAATGTCGGTTGGGTGATTTCCGGCTGCTACTGGGTGTGCTTTAGTGAGGTGCATAGACCTTATGGGTGGATTAATGGTGGTGATGTTTGATAGATGGTTGTTGCCTTACTGAGCGTAGGATGTAATACACTAAAATGACGCTATAATGTTGGTTAGATGATTTCTGGGTGCTATTGAGGTGCTTTCCTAAGGCATATGGTTGTATTGTTTATGGCCATGTGGGCTTAAGGTGGTGTAGTACATGTTATAATGTTGAATGATTTTTCTGGCTGCTAATGAGGTGCTTTAGTAAGGCGGAGGGGTGTAATGTTGATGTTATTTGTTGTGGTGTTGGTTAGATGATTTATGATTGTTATTGGTGTAGGCGCTATATGATGGGTGGCTGATGTGCTGCATCGCTACTTGCTTGTTCTAAAGCCCTTGAAAAGTCTTTCCTTCCTGAAAGTTGAGAGTCTGAGTGATCTTGACCCTTACATCCAGTTCTTAGAGAGTAGCATTTTCTTGGCTCGTCGTTAGCTAGAGTTGTATAGTCAAAACAGGTCGTGTTTGTTACACGATGAAGCCAGCTTAACTGATGTGGGTGAGTGCAGGTGAAATCGTGGTTGGCGACACCAGTATTCCAGCAGCTAGTGCTACTGGTAGTTGGAATTTGCCAACTTGATATGTATCAGTGGTTAGTACAGAATTGTAAATGTTGTAGCAAACTTAGCAGGTAAGATCTTTGTACGATGTATCTAAAGCCAGCCGTTTGAATTCTATTTACAACACTATTCTTATTGTGAATCTCATTTGAACGTTAAGAAATGATCAAGGCTGTAAGCCACACCATATGAAAAAGACTATCAACATAACCATATTCGTTTTTGTAGGTCTCAACCATGACCCTCTTTATTTCTACGACAATGGAATGCATAGTAATGTAGAGATTTCTATACATGCTAGTCACTACGATTGACGCCAGAGGGGGAGAGTGTGATGACATATAAGCCTAGTAGGTCAGTGTTGTCCTCTGTGATACGATGATGTATACGAACACAATTTGGCAAAAAGTTGATAAAGTAAGATCGATAGTAAGGTGGGGTGAGTATAAAAAAAATTGATTAACAAAGAGTGAGTAGAAAATAGTTGTTGGCTCAATGGGTGTGACATGGTATATGATTAAGTTGCCAAAAATGAATTAAAAGCAAGTCGAACTTTCTATAACTATGAACATTAAAAATTAGATAAACCTTTAGAAGTTGAACATTAAAAATTAGATAAATCTTTAGAAGTTGAGGCACTCCGTGGTATATAAAACTGATCAAGGAACAAAATTGAATAGATACTCTCCCCATTTGCTTTTAGTGCATCAAATTGACTTTTTACAATATTTACATACTTCATTTTTGCCGAATATATTTATACTTAATGATAATATAAGTCAATGTTCTGCATTGGCTAACCTGCCTAGTCTAATTGAGCGCTTCAAGAATATAAAGCAAAGAGAGTACAACTTAATAAACAACTAACTCATAATGAAACATTAGATCATCTACAAGGAATAGAGATTGTAGCAATATTTAAGCTATATCAATATGTTCATTTTTTGTTTACCTGTGCATTAGATTAAGTTAAAGTAATCATATTAATACATTAAAATACCAATACAATGTTACCACCAATCATTTTAATAAATGATACTCCGTACTATAAATGTATTTCCTACAGTGATATAAATTTGAAAATAAACAACAAATTCACATATTAATTACTGTTATGTTTCAACATGCTTAATATCTCCGCCTCTAGCATCTATAATAAATGGTACTATAAATGTCCTTATTGTCCTATAACAAAGCACAAATTGTTTAGGTGCCATATTTTTTACTTTTAAAATTAGGTAACTACCAAACTATGTGCAACTATTAAAATTAAAATAATTAGTGGAAGGCTTAAAGCCAATTGAAGCAGTAAAATCTACCGTTAATTGTATTGAGGCAAGCGCCATTAACCCTTGACTAGATTCTTATAATTTGAATATTAGCATCTATCCAAAAAGTTGGTCATGAGTGCAGTGCATGTTTTAAGCTGATTCTAGTGAAAATACCTTTGTTTCTCATATGTTTTTACTACAGAGTACGAATATCTAAGGCTTCGAGTTTGCTTTAAAATTAGCATACTTTTTGTTCCTTTTTGGTAGTGCTAGCCATTAGCTAGATACTCCTATTCTTAGGAATAATGATTCATTTTATCGAGGTCATTTATCTCATGAAGTCATGAAGTTTGATGATATGATGATATATTGATATCCATATGCCTTGCTTTAGCTCCAAGGAGCCTAGTAAAGTTGCTTAGATGATGTAATTTTATTAAGGATCTTGCTAACGAACGTTCTCAAGACGTTAGATAACCATTTAAAGTATTTTCTAAAGTAGTATTAATTTAGAAGTGTATGCCAAAATTACGCGTCGATTGGTGCAATTAATGTTTATTTTAATTTAATATTTCTACTTTAGTTAGCTTATCCAACGCCCCCGAAGCGTTCGTTAGTTTTTGCCTTTTTTTAATACTTCCTCCGTTCTTTTTTTTTTATTGCACCATGAGTGATTTCACGCTTGCCAATCATAACTTTACTTATTAATATCTTTAATTACACTTTTGTAAAATTATAAAAATTTGATATCTAAAATGTAGATTTTAAGACGAATCTAATTAGATCCCACATAACTATGTTTTTCCTTACAGATGAATATCACATGATGGCCAAAGAACATTATGTGAATAGTGTAAAAGTCATTATGGTGTGATAAAAGAAAAACGGAGTAAGTATATAACTTTGTATTCTCCCTATTTTAAAAACAATTGCCTCAAATCCCTAATTTTTTTTTTCTATTTCATTTTATTTAATGGGTAGACACACTTATTGATGAGGGGAGATAAAAGAACAAATGAGGTTGCAAGTGAAAAATTATCAATTAAGGCATGCGGCAATCTTTTAGAGGCATTAATAAATTTTTTTTTAAGGAAAAATTCATGAGAATAATCCCACCTTTGAGCCATTCTTTTTTAATAATCCCACCTTTGAGAAATTATTTAATAATCCGACCTTTACCCCCCCATTCTTTTTTATTGGTCCCAACTGATCATGTAACCTGTTATGACACGTGGCAGCCTGTGATTGGTCAAAAAAAAAATAACAAAAAAAAAAACAGCCAGCCACCAGCCTAGGCCCCTGCTACTGGTACCTGCTCCGGCAGACGCGCCAACGGCCGCCGGCCTCCCTCCCCTTCCCCTCCTTACAAAAAAAACCACCAGCCCTACCACTAGCCAGCAGCCACCCCCTCCCTTTCTCCCTCCCCTGACAGCAAATAGGCTACGCTGCCGGCCTGCCGCACCATTCACCACCTTCGCACCTCCAACGCAACAACCTCCCCTTCTCCATCTCCAGCCCAACAATACCTCGCCACCATCCCTCCCGTAACTCCCTCTCTTCTCACTTAAACACCAACAACACAGCGGTCACACACCACTGCCACCACCTTACGCCAGTAACAGCGCAGCATCAATTCCTCCCCCAACCAACCCAGCAGCCCAATTCGCCACCTAACCCAGCTCTGATCGCTCTACAATCGACCGCCAAAGACCACAATTTGCCATAATGAAGGAATTAGGGTTTTAAAGGTTTAACAATGGTGGAAAAGAGGGGAGGAGAGAGAAAGGATGGATTGTTTTATGGTGGTGGAAAGGAAGGGGGAGGGTTGTCCGGGTGCTGCGATGGAGGTGAATGGTGCGACAGCGTAGCCTATTTGCTGTCAAGGGAGGGGGTGGATGCTGGCTAGTGGTAGGGGAAGGTGGTGGTGTTTTTTTTTTTTTTTTTTTATAATTTTTTTAAATTTTGGACAAATCAAATTGTGACACGTGTAAATTAAACTTAAAAAAAATTTATTTACCTACTCAACCGGTTTCTGGTCAAATGGGACTAATAAAAAAGAATGGAGAGTAAAAGTCGGATTATTAAATAATTTCTCAAAGGTGGGATTATTAAAAAAGAATGGCCCAAAGGTGAGATTATTCCCATGAATTTTTCCTTTTTTTTATAAGTATTAAATACACTTTTTTTTTTGAAGGAAAACATTAAATACACTTATTAAATACATTAGTATAAATTTAGGAATTTTTTTTCATAAAAAAAAAAAGAATCCATGACAAAAAATACACGCAAATCAGTGTAATTAATTCTAAAGTTTTCTAAAGGGACGCATGTAGCATTTTCCTTTCTTTTTTCTAGTAATGGAATGATTTTTAAGTGAGGGAGGAAGTAGCTAATACGGGCAAAACTACATCTACCCACTGAATAGATTACCACTACTAATAG